GGTAGAAATAACTTCGAAAGCGTTCTAAGGAAAATGTATAAAGCAAAAATTATTACTTGTGTATTCGTGAAAAAAATGTATCGTTCTATATTTCAGAATAGTGTAAACGTTTAAACTGTATGTATATACTTGGCGTAAAATTAATGTGGCTTAAAAATTGGATAAAGAAGCCAGTCGTCTGATGGAAAAGCGATACTGGACCCGAAACTCGGATCGGAGTGCCTAGATGGTTACATCTGTACCCCTAAACGAAGTATTGCTCTTTCATTAACGGGAGCTAGGAGGCGTTCTGAAGAGTAGAATTCTTTTACTTCTTTCGGATTTATGCAACGGGATGGGTAACATGTAATTACAATTTTTTTTCCATCTCGTTCAAGTCAAAGCGTCCCGTAAAAAAGCAAATATTTCTTAAATAATCAAGAAAATAATGACATAAAAGTTCCACTTTCGAAGTACTTCTTACGTAACTTAACAAGAAGACGCGATATTAGCGAGGAATCAATGCGCATCTCGAATGCTGAAGTGCGTCCATACAGATCGAGTGGTCATTAACGGCGTAGACTTGCTAGCTAGAAATTATATGGGCTCCTGAGTGTCCTGTCTCGCCCTGTTTCTAACGGCATAACGAAGGTCTTTAGCGCGCTATCCGTCGTGGGAGAGGCTCACCTTTGAGACGCACTCAGGTGGTCCGTTACGCAGACGGAGCGACATGCTAGATCTTAGAAGTTTGAATGAACAAAGTTTGCATAATGCTGTTTTTTTACTCTGATTACAAGCATCTGAGAATCGGAGTCATTAGTCCAATTCTCCTATGCGCACTGCATTGAAATATTCGATGGCTTCAGGACTAACCATGTAGCGACCCATGTTTCTAAAAAGATCATACTTCAGTTCTGCCTAATTATTTATAGATTATATTCCTAACTTTGTAAACCATCACAATAACACTTAATAAGGTATATTTATCGAATAAAATCGCTATATTCCTCAAACAGATATGGAGTTTGCTCGCATTATACGTATCAGGGCAAGGCACGCCGCCGTCGTCGACGTCGTCCTTCATACCGACGGAGTCGATCCTACTCGGGCTGTGTGCGTTCTTAGTGTGAAATGACGGTTGGATACCGTAAAGTATCAACAGTCTTGTCTTGTTCGGTTGAGGCAACACACATTTCTCACTGAACGGACGATAAGGTCACCAGCGAGACAGCAATAGTTGCCGGACATTGAATCGCTGAAGTAAACACTGAATTGGTCAGAGATTCTGGGATACGATAGTTTCCGTACTAATGCTACTGCTACTTCTTCTATCGGTAGCAAACATTGCCAGATCGATGCGTTTCCAATCAAAAATTGTTTGTGCCAATATGCCAAACTCTAGAAGTGTGGTTCTTGGTCAGATGCTTACACATCCATCCTTCATCGCTGGTGGATAGAGGTTGTACACATCGACGTCAGGCTAAGCCACCCGTGACCTGAACCCTGTAGCAGCCTTTAATATGTATCTAGCACCCATGTGTTTGTGTGTTTATAAGTGAATGTCGAGTTATGAGGACCAGAATTCCATAAATAAGGCTGATTCCTAAGGATGTGTAGAGGGCTATAGAAAATCAGGTCGAGCGTCTAATCTACGTTGTATTTCAGACAACGTATAAATCAAATTTCGCTTTTTCAGTTTAGATACTTATTAGATCTAAGAAATTTTAGGCCTAAGGTCATTGAAAACGTTTTCCATAATTGGCTATCAATTGTTCCTTCTGCAAAAGACGTTAGTACGGTTATTTCGTATTGCTTCAGGGACCTGTTAAGACAGAAGCCTCATTAAGAGAAACTTGGAGAAACTGGGTAAGTGTGGGGATTATTATCTCTCTTGCCTTTCCTATTTCTACTAAACGATTAACATAGGTCCGACCTCGGATTCGGCTATAGATCACCTCGGTGTTCCTATTGTTAGTAAGCAAACATGTTGCAACTGTGCAACCGAAAACATGTATCATCGGAGATCTTTATATATATAAAGATCTCCGATAATGCATATATATATATATATATATATATATATATATATATATATATATATAGAACTTGACAAAAATGTATCTCCTATTTCAAGATGACACTATTTTACGATACAACGTTTAGCAATATTTTGTTTCTGTATTCGAGATGTTTCTGTACACTTTGAAATTTGAGGCTACTTACACAGATATTATAACTCGGATTTCTAGCAGGCATAATGTAGCGATATAATGTAATTATTTATGGGAAATTCGAAAATGGAAAAAGTTCAAAAAAATAACTTTTACATTGTGACTGCAGCGGTGAGGATGGTCTGCGGGATAAATTTCATGTTTCGCCTATCATGTACACTATAGACACCGTAGGCTGTTGTAAAAAATTAAGAATTAAGAAGAAGAAGAAGAAGAAGAAGAAGAAGAAAGGAGATTTTTAACGTGAACGTGGACTTCGCTGAATACCCTTCACAAAAGCGATGCGTTGAAAGTCAAAGCCGATCAATTTCAGAGTGCGCAAGCGTTAGCACCCAGGTCTGATGTATGTCAGTCAGATTAATAAAGTAGACAACTGAGCAAACGCATGTCCCGTCGTTTTAACGAAAATCAAAGAGAGAGAGACGACAAAGCTTGTCCTATTTGTTCACACGTCACAGCTGCAAACCCCTAAAGCAATCGTAAAGCTTCGGAAGCTTGTGGTGTTTCTTCGGTAATTCAATGCAGGTGTTGTTTACTACAGCTGCATAAATACTAATTTGTTAATCAGGGCTGTTATCAATTGAAGGGGACTATGAAAAACTCTGTATTGAACAGCCAGTTAAGTTTAGGGAGGTAAACTATTGTTACATGACAACACTCGAAAGACAACGTGCCGCAAGCATCACGATAGAAAAAAGATACTAAAGTTTTTGTTGGAGGCTTTCTGTCGTCCATCCTTATATCATACATACATATATTTTATATGTATTGTGTTATGAGTGAAATTTGAACCCTATCCAGGAAGAGCTATTCGAAGATGGGTGCTCCAGGTGGAGAAAATGCATTTTTGGCACCTTGCGTAGCATTCATTTCGTTGATACGCTGCTGAAACATTACATGGCATTTTCCTTGTACACCCTAGTGACGCTATCGCTAAAAGGTAGTTTGCTAAATTTACAAATGACAGTCAGTGCCTAGAAAAGGCCTCCTGCTTTGACCGACCATTTGACCTTTATGATGAACATTTTAAAGCACTTTTGAAAAAAGATGGCCGACAAACGGTAGGGGAATCTGCCGAAAAGATGGGCTGCGACCATCCAACCATTGTTAACCGCTTTGAATCCTTTGGATCTACACAAAAACTTGGGGCTTGGGTACCTTAAATTTTTTGCACCCCACAAAAAATCATCGCTTGATGCTGTATCTCGCTCGGTATCAAGCGTCGCGCGGCCGCAATAACCAATTTTGACACAAGATTGTTACAGATCGGAATGGGTCGTTCCGCAAAAGGAGCCAAGGTCTTGGTTCAAGAAGCGCTATATCTTACGTTTGCTTACACTGCAAGGGCCTGATTCGCTCAGGTTTACTTCTCGCGAACCAAATAATTGGTCCGAACAGTCACTCGGCCCAGTTGTATCGAACCTGCCAGGCTGTTCAAGAGGGCAGATTCGATAAATGAGGTCTGATCCTCCTGCTATAGGAGAACGCAAGGCCACACACGGCAAATGTCGTCAAAGCTGACTTCCAATAAGTAGTTTACTGCTTTCATATTCTCCAGACCTCACGCTAACGGAGTTTCGCCTTTTCCGTTTATTTGAAAAATCATCTTCATGTCGCTATCTTCGACGCGGGCCAACAACTCAAAACGTGGTAGAACATTCTGGCGAGACAGCATATAGTTTAGTAGAAAAATGTAAGACAATCGTGAACAATAATGGAACATACGTAGCGTAATAATCTTTTGATGGCGGATTAAAAATGTGGTATTAAATAAAACAACCGCAAAAGCTTCATTTTCAACTTTGTACACATATATAGACATAAATATGCATATATGTTCAAAAATAACTTTTAGTCCCGGGTAGCAGGCTGTTAGGACATATCCTGACAACCCTGCATGCGTTCATTCGATATTCTTATTGCACTATCTTTGGCTCTTTGTAGTTGTTTGTAGAAAAAAAAAAACTATTACAGAAACTCGCCATGGCGTATGTTGGAAGTTCATTTTTGGGACATCTGCTATAATCAGCCATTGCCCAATATTTCCAGGAAAGTCCAAAGGATACTAACATATGTCAGCGAAAAAGATTTAAAGGAGCCAACAGCATGTCTCAATGACGACAAAAATGCAGATTCAACGATCATCTAAAAACGACGAAAAAAACACGCCGCTTGAACAAAAGAGTGACTATGTAACGTTACGCAGATACTCTCAGAAGGGACAAAAACCAAGAAACAAACTTGTTGCATAACTCCTTAAAGCAAGTTTAAGTACAAACAACCCGGCCATCTTCGATTGCTTTCCGACGAGAAAACTTTTACTGCAGATGCAGAACTCTAAGGACGATAGAACCGACAGAAAAACAATGTCGTTTTTGCAAGAACTAACCTTTTTAACCATAGTCCTAGTCGAAGGCACGTACACTCTGACGGTAACACTTAATGGTCGCGTCTTTTCCGAGAAGGCGAAACCAAGGGAGGTATAATGGGGCGTTGTACAAACATATGCTGAATAGAGCACCATCGGTTTTTAGGCTAATCGTATAGAATGAAACGCCGTCAATTCTTAAGCCTGTATTCATTACAAACGTAACTTTAAATCTGAGCATTACTCTAAGCAGCGCTTTTAAACGATAAAAAAAATAAATATGGCTCAGCTTTTTGTCAAAAATATCTTATTATAGCTTAAATTTAGCGCGGTTCGGAGTAGCGTTTTAAGGATAAAACGAACTTTACAAAGCAGCATGCCGTTATTAAACCTACTAGAAGTACGCCTTTATCGAGACTGCTCCTTTGAATAGTTTAATAGACAAAATTTGAACCTAGTGGATCTGATTTGGTAGAGACGAATTCTTTGATAATAATTTGTGATTTTTTTTTTTCGAATAGTGAGCAGTTTTGCCGCAACAGCAGATCAAAGTCTTTATAAGACTATTAGCGCTATTGCTTTTGTAAGGCCTGAGACCTAATAACACGATTTGTTTGTGATAGGCGACATCCACCCATTGCCCGTAAAGTGACTACTTCGGAATACATGTTGATAAGTATGTGTAACGCGATTTTCTATCCCGCCAAACGTTATTGCATAATAACCTAATACGCTCGTGAATCGAATCATGTTTTTCTTAGCCGGGCAGTGAGTCTGAAATGCTTCTAAGCTCAACGTTCAGTCACTCCATTATAGCTGCAGTTTTTTGACGATATCGATTTTCGGTGATCTCGGACTTCCATCAAATCATTCTTCTGTCGGCAACAACGATGGGAAGTTTCAGTTCGACGCGGTCACGCGGTCAGGGTATCGAACATTTTTGTCGTAATGACACGCCGAGTAGATCATGCTCACGCACTGGATTCAAAAGAAGCGACCGAAAACAGTCTGTAAAATACAAAAAAATTCTTACCAATAAAGTTACGAATCTGCGCAACAGCTTAAAAAATGTACGGATACAGACGACAAGTTTCAGCGACTTTATCGTGGTCGGATATTTGGGCGGGGGGGCCTTCGGTCAAGTTCTGAAGGTACAGCACAAAATTAGCAGGGTAAGCTATGCTTTGAAGGTGCAGTCAAAGGAACACATCATAAAATCTCGAAATCAGCTCGAGCGACTAATGAATGAGAAACACATTCTGGCCGCGACGGATTACGTGTTTATTGTAAGGTTGTTTTCCACCTTCAAGGATAACGCGTGTGTCTATCTCGTGTTGGAGTTGGTACCCTGTGGCGACTTCTTCGATCTAAAGGAAAAATACCGTCACTTCAATGAGGACATGACCCGATTTTACTCGGGGCAGGTTCTGCTTTCGTTTGAATACCTTCACGCTGGCGGAATCATTTACCGGGATCTGAAACCGGAGAACCTCCTCGTTGCTGCTGACGGCTACCTCAAACTGACCGATTTCGGCTATGCAAAACCTTTAAAGAACGTTACCTACACATTCTGCGGCACCCCCGAGTATATGGCACCGGAAGTGTTCACGAAACGAGGATATACGCAATCCGTCGATTACTGGACCTTAGGAATTCTTCTTTATGAAATCCTCTATCAAACTACACCTTTTTACGCTCGTTCAACGGAAGCTATCTACGACCGCATTCAGAACGAAACTGCAGTGTTCCCTTTGGATTCTAGGGTCACCACAGACGCACATTGTGTCATAACACGACTGCTTCAAAAGGACCTTACCAAGAGATTAGGCGTGTTACGTAATGGCGCTGACGATGTCAAGGATCATCCGTGGTTTAGTGGGATGAACTGGATGGCCTTATATGAACGACGATACCCAGCGCCGCTGGAGCCCGCGATGTATTCGCCCAAATCTTTTGATCTAAAAAAACTGCCTCACTCACCAGTAGTTCTGTATGAACAAGAGTTTAAAAAATTTTAACCAAATGTCGTAACAATTCCAATTACGTGGTGCTCGATATAATAAGAAGCTTGACTGTATACGACTAGATCAGCGATATGACATGACACACAGAGTGCATATCTATCGAGGTTAGATAAACGACACGCTTGGTCATAATCCTGCACGGATTAAGCCCCGTCCCATTTTTGTAGCCCGGAACAAATTTCCTGAAAACGAATTTCACATAGCTGACATTTCACATAGATGAAACCATTCATCGTTAGATTTCTTTCGCTGTGCTTTTAATGAAAAATGCTCTACGTCATACGAGTTATTTGTTATGAGTGATAAACACGTGCTTTACTGCAGTGACCCGCATCGGTTAGAAGGGATGTGTCAATCTTACCACAACATCCGTTTCCGAGGACGGATTCCAGTCGGATTTGCGAAGCAGGCAATAAATGGCTAGAGTTCCTATTGAAAGTATTTCTGTTCATGATCTCTCATCTATTAAGCAAAACCTATTAAGTAACACTTTCGGGTATCAACGAAGTTGACGTGCTTTGCTTTGGCTTCAGTCGCGCTCTCCAGTATGAACTTCTTGAAGTTTATAGGAAAAGCTAGAGTAATAAATGTAAGCATCGTTGTTTCAAGGTAATCCTAACCCTCATCAATGCAACATGTCCAACACATTGCCTTTATATATAAGTGCTCTGCATTAGTCGGAGGGCGTACGTAGTAAAAACGCTTGGCGAAGTTTGTTCCTGAACAAAGCTCTAGATGTGAACCGTTCGATTTAACAATAATGTACGTTTCGAATATAGCGCCTGAAAGAAATTTATTTGGAAAAAAGCACTCGTGAGCAAATTACGCGACGTATCTCTATTGCTATACTACGCGGACTGCTTGACTGATTTTTGGATCCTCTAATAATCATTGTTATAACATAACACTGCGCGCCTCTCGTATGTGTCGACCCCAGACCAGCTGAAACGCGTAACATTTCACAGACAATTATCCGCACTATTTGCAAACGAAACCCATCGTGACAAGCGGGCAACACATTTTTATTTATTCTATATATTCGAGGTATTCAGTTGTATGACCCTGCCATAAGTTTTCAACGAGAGCGGATTAGGCTTTACTATGCCATGCCTACCATATGGAACATACATTTGAGTGGCAGATTATAATTCGCGCATGGCGGTTAGAGCGGAAAAGTAAACCTGTTCAGTCCACATCCTTATTTTGACTCAAATAAGCTATTTTTTTTTTATTTACATATAATAATTTGAGCTACTTGCGACGTTACTGTATAACATTATTCCGAGATTTAACTTTACATTAGACTTCGAATACCCTGGAGAAGGGTTCCGTAGTAAGCTCGCTTGTCGATATATACACCAGACGCTGATAATATACATTAGCCGAGGAAAAAACGTATCCAGAGGTTAGTACGATTCGAATTTCTTTATACCCCATCATCGGAGCAGTGAGTTTCGTTGATTTAACTGTGCAAGTCGGTAACTGTTGGCTAGAGTATATTTGCAGGCACTACTTGCGGAACCCCATATGTATATATGGATGTGCACGAATTATGAACTGCTATTCATGGACGATACTAGCAGTTGATTTTCAAAGACTTTCCATTAATCAGTTGACCAGCTTCGCGTTTTCCTATTGCAGTTCCTCCGGATCATACGAAACGTGAAGACCCTAGAATTGCCGTATTTTTCCCACTTGTCATATAAGTGAAGACTATTTCCGTCTGCGAAACGTTAATACTGCTACTTCTACTAGAATTTTTCAAATTCTTTTTCGTACATGACCTTCTTCGCCCGAGGCCACTTACTCATATCGGCATACCTGGCCTCGTAAGGTTCCGGCGTGTGCGGGACCTCGCATCTTTGCTGGTATAATGCCAACCAGTTTATACCACGAAACCAATCGTGGTGCTTGACATCGTCTGTTCCGCCAAATAGTACCCCCAATCGTTCTGACGTATCTTTTTCTAAGAGACGCAACATAAAGTCCTGTACGGGTAAACTTAAGGTGACTCCCACAGGAAAGCTGACTCGATCATTTTTAATGCGATAATAAAGTCGTTCGGGAACGTCACTGTAAAATGGTGAATACTTAAGCATGAGTTCGTACGTAAGTATTCCAACCGCCCACCAATCGGGACTTCGGTCGTATCCTCGTTTCGTGAGCACCTCTGGCGCCATGTACTCATCAGTCCCACAGAAAGTGTATGTTAGCCCTGTGACGCGCTTCGCAAAACCAAAATCAGCAACTTTTAAAAAACCTTTTTTGTCCATTAGTAAGTTCTCCGGTTTCAAATCGCGATAAATCAGATTTGAGCGGTGAAGATACTCGAGAGCTAGTACGACTTGGGCAACAAAAAATCTTGTTTTATCTTCACAGAACTGTCCGTGTCGTATTTTCGCTTGAAAGAGATTACCACAAGAGACATATTCCAGACCAAAGTACACGCAGGCGTTATCCTTAAAACTGTAATACAACTTTACGATAAAAGTGTGATCAAGCACACCCTGGATATTTTTCTCGTTGAGCAAGCGTCTGATCTGTCTCCGATTTTTCATAATTTTTTCTTTTGATTGCACCTTCAACGCGAAGAGGTCCATCGACATTTTATGTTGCACCTGCCAGACCTGACCGTAGCCGCCTTCGCCGAGAAAGCCCAGGATCTCGAAGTCATCGAGATGTGCCCCAGGAACTTTTGGCTCGTCGAGACAATGTTGTAGAATGTTGACCTTCATACGAAGGATAGACTCGTAGATTGAGTCAGGACGACGCTCACTCTGCCTTACCTGAACCGTTTCCTCCAAGGTTTTTGATGAGAGGCAGACGACATGCATTCGGTGACTGCATTCATCTTCACTTTTGCTTTTTTCCTTCAAATGCTTAATACTTGCCATCGTTATTTTTCAGTTTAAAACTACTTCGGTGAAGGTAGATGGCTGATGCTGCCATGAGAAAATATAACACTATGGAAAGCGATAGCCTATTGGTCGATTGACGACAGAAAAATTTTCTTTGTCCGAATATCAACCCATAAAATTCAACCTGCAATTAAAGAGGTCAAGTTTGTGTTTCAAAGTAACTTTTTTTCTAATTGTATCTAATGACGGACCGTGTACAATGATGCTTCGTTACGTACACCACATCGTTCATTGTGATCAGTCGATTATTGTCGTTTTAGCCAATATACATATACGACTATGAAAATACCAAAAAATACGCTTGATTGACCATCGTCGATCGCTCACACGTGTTTGAATAGAATCGGATTGTTTATTTCATTATTATTATTATTTAGTAATATTGTCTAGTATAGCTCACTAGCAAAAACACACCTAGAGCAGGCGTTCGCAAGTTCCTCGTAAACTATAGCTGTTCGCTGTCGCTTAGACACACTTTATTTTACGAACCGCTTCAGGCGTTTGCAAAATAATGTGGCTCCATCTATTGCAAAACTGCAAAATAATAGAAAACAAACGCCATCAAAGCTGCCTTTAACAACAAGCGCGCACCGGCTAACAAATAGTGTATGTGACATGTAGTCATATGGGCAGGCGGTATACGATCTGAAATGTATGCTCCGTTGCGTCTCTTCTACCGAGATGCTTGTCCCATACATTCCGTAGCTTAGTTCCTCTTCATAGATACAGCATTTCTTCTCCAGGTCTTGCATGAAAGTCACAGAGGATTGGTTGGTCACAGAGGAGTTCTGCTATAGATCATGTCGCAAGAGCCTACGGGCCCTGCTGGTCACCACATCTGTGTTTCATACACGAGAACGCTAATGACCAATCTGCTATATGAAAGCCTTAAGAGGCCGGCGGCTTCATTCTGCAAAATATGGCGAAATTGGGCGCAAACAATGCTGGGACCCTTCCTAGATTTCTGTCTGGTAGTCAAAGCGACTGAATCGATTCACCGTATGAGATTACTCTCTTATAGCTATTTATGCAATTGCATAGAAGCACGCCCTTTAGGTTGTTCAAAATGGCGGCTGTGACAATGGAATATAGGCCCACCAATGCGGGTCGACAGCAAATTTGGAGAATAGATTCGTGTTCTAGCTTCGTTATATTGGGCAGGTATGTTGCTGGCGATATTTTACCGTAGTTCGCATACATCGAAGAACCGAAAAAGAGCGAAGCCTTTTTCTTTTCGTACCGTTCGCTTTTATAGCACGCTTTTATCTACATATATGGAGGCTTTCGAGCGGTAACCCGCTTTTTTAGCTAGTTGTTTCGTTAACTGTGGCACAATAGGCATAAGTAATAGAGTTGCAGCATCGTGACAGGCTGGGGACGACTAGCCAGTCAGTCCAGTTTCAAATGAAAGCTCCGTTTTGTGCAATATAATTATTCAGCATAGGGCTATGCGCTGTTTTCCACCGTGCTGCGCCAATCTTAACATACCTGAATAGATTTCCAGGTGAAAATGCCCGTGTTGGACAATATATAAATGGATACTATAACCGTACTTAGCATGAGCTGGACGAAGAATTAGTCATCATCCACGTCTTGAGGTAGTTCTAGTTTTATTGAGTTGAAAACTGTCCTTCATTGAAAGTTCAGCCTAACTCAGACACACCTTTTTTAAACAAGGAACCTCAGTAGTAGGCTCAGGGATGGCTAGAAGCTATTTATCTTTAACCCTTAAAACACTGCGTTTGAGTGATAACCACAAGGGCCGTTTTCGTTCGTCCATCTTGATATCTCTCATGCAGAATGATTACTTACTGAGTAATTCTTGATCTATTCATTTTTCTATAATACTTCTTACAAAGCCGATACGAAATTAGCAACACTGATTATATCAGTTCGTGGCCGACTTTTTCTCTGAGCACTTCATCTAACAAATGGCGCTTATCAGTGAAAAGTCTTGCTTGCATGAAAAGATAACGTGTTACTAAAAACTAAGATATTTTAGCTGGTAGGTTTCTCTACTAATGTGATTACAATGAGCCCACAAATTACTGGGTACACTTCAAGACGAGCGCCAACGACAGAAATTAATTAACGTTTACATACAGCTGCCGTATTGGGCAGCCATATGTTTTTGGGGAGTTCATTATAACCCAACAATCATAGTTCAAAATACGCTATATACAAACGCTTATACTGCTAAAATAGCTATATAAGTTAAATATTACTAAGAATAGGGCTATACAAAGGATTAGGGGTGTCGGCTTTGAGCAGCTGCACAAACTAACTAATGGGTACTCATAATGGGTTTGATAGATAATGGGCTGAGAATTCGTCACGAGAAAGCAGTCAAGTAAGGTAAGTGCTTTGCAAGGATCGATAATAATAATGATAGACAAACATTTGATATAAACTAGCACGTTTTTCCATAATAGACGAAGCATAAAATTACTGTATACATATACGAGACGATACATTTGTATATATATATATATATATATATTGTACTCAGTATTGAAACTATTTTTTTTTCGTGGGCCCTTCCTCTATTTAG